TCAAATTTTTTCAGTAGAATCCTTAGGAGTGAAGCTTTGGTTTATAAATCTTTTTTTTTTTTCAGAACAGCCGTTCTGTGGAAATTATTCGAAATTAGATTCTCATACAAACACTGTAATTTCTAACGCGTTTGCCTACTCGTCAAGATGGCGTCGAAAACCGTGACAAGGTCTATTACGGACTAATATATGGAAAATCTAAAGAAAGCGTCTGGAGAAATTTAAGTACAGGTACGCCCCCCAATTTTTTTAGGACAATCCTTTGCTTTGTAGCTTTAGTTTACAATTGATATTTTGTTCAGAACAGCCATTTTACGGAAAATATTCGACATTAGATTCTCATACAAACGCTGTAATTCCTCACACGTTTGCTTACTCGTCAAGATGCAGAAGATGGCCTCGAAAACCGTGACAAGGTCTATTCATCTACCAGTCTTTACATAACAAAACACAGATGAGTCACAAAAATTAAGCATGAATGTTTTCCAAGCTATTTTTGCATATTTTATCAGTGGAAGTGCAATAAATCAAATGCAAACAATCTGCATCATGCGACAAACTGAGAATATGCTCTCCAGATCATGACGTGACAACGAGAGTCGCAGTCTCTGAGGAGTCCTGGTACCTGCTCCCATTTCTGATATTGAACATAAGAGAACTGCCTGGAAAGTTTGTAAGGATCCTAAGTGAATGGGCTCCTCCACAGCAATGGTTTGCCTAATTTTCGAACTGTTATAGATTTATTTTTTCATCGCTCGGAAACACTATATGGTGATTAACACCAGTCACGTCACGCATCTATTCTTGGAAACCAACCTTATTTTCCGAGAATAACCGCAATTTCCTCTATATGTTTTTATAGATCTAATATCTGAATGTTATTTATAACTTTGACGAAAAGAAAGTTGAATCGAACAGTTTTTTCGATTTCTATTTACAAAAATCTCAGGCCAGCTTTTGTTTATTTCGTCTTTGAGAGAGTTGCATTATATTTAGGAAAACGTGTCCGTCGGGGAATTGTAAATCATGGCAGCAAGGATGTTACCAGCCATCATGAGTCTGGAGAAAAGAATTGCAATGTCTGATCAAGGAAAAGTGGCTGTGTTGAAAAAACCTGAAAATTGCATTGAGATATATGGCAAAGGAGAAACGGAAAACCCCGAGCAACAATGGATGCATAGAAGGCTTTACAGGGGTCTTGTTGTTCCTTACGACGTTTCTTTTGCGCCAAATAACCATCTTGTTGTTTCAGACATAGGCGATCACGCCATCAAGATTTTCAATTTAGAGGGGGACGCGAAAAAAGTAAGTCATATGATCATTGGCCAAGACCCTTACCGTCATTTGTTTGTACAGGATATAAATGGTATGAACATGGAATTATCTACAAGACTACTTTGGGGTCTCAGCATTCGAATCCCCAAAAATGTTGTCGTAGGTCCCGCACCACTATCGCAGCTGTTTGTCACATGTGGTACGGATATTGTTCTCATTAATATGAACTGGAATAAGATGAGCCCGGTAGGTTGCTCTCAAATCTGTTCTCCTATGGACTGGCGCTTTGTGCAGTATAGCAAAAGTTTAATGTGTGACAATGTAAGCGCAGTTCAAGATCACAAGGATAACCATAAGGTTGGAGGCTTCAATCCACTTGTTATTACTAAAGCTCAGTTCTGTGGCATGTTCTATCACGTCACAGAGACGAATCATGCTGAATTTCTGTGTCTTGACAGACCGGACTGCAAGATTGGAAACCGAGGCGATAAGAAAAAATTTGCTGCGACGGTGGTCATTTATGTGAGAGTAACAGACAAAAATGGGCGATTGATATTTCATGCAAGATATGGCAACTGTTACCAAGGTCCAATTGCAAACACAGCCCATGCTGAATATTTTATGCTGGTTGATGAAGAGTTCAGACAAGCTGTTAAATTCCTAAGAGGTCGTATGGGAGGAAATATTACCATGTATATGAACAAACAACCTTGCAGTATGTCAACAAGTCATGGGAAAATAGCACTTAAGGTAAAAGACTGTGCACAGGAATTAATTAACTTCTTTAATGTTTATTGCTCGACTAGCAGCATAAAATTGCAGATCTATCTATGCCAGTTGTACAAAGTCGACATGGACGTACCACATGAATTTTCTCTTGCACAAGACATCATAAATGCTCAACTGGGCCTGAAAACCTTGCTTTCTTCTGGTATTGAAGTTATTGCTATGTCACAAGAAAGTTGGACGAAACTTGCTGAATTTGCCGACATTGAATTACCAGAATACCAAGAGAGCGCACGACAAAAGCTAGACAAACATATCGACAACTTCCTTTCGAAAATTAAGAGAATACAGACTGCCACACTGCTGTACAGGTTTGCAAACGGTCAGAATATTTTTTAGTTCGATATACGAGTGGCGCTGAACTGAACTATAATTTCCCTCTTTTTATAGTTAGTGAGAAATATGTACCCAATGGGGCTATGTAATACTAGTGCAAACG